TGGGGCTGGGCCGGAAGGAGCCACGAACTCGGGGATGCTGCTGAAGTCGTCGTAATCTTCATCTAGCAGCGGCTTGGGAGTCGGTAGTTTCGGGACGATCACCGGCGCCTCGGGCACAGGCCGTTTTTTCGTTTCTACAGGCTTCTCGGCAGCTGGTGCGAGCTGGAGGTTCATTGTCCTATCTTCCAGTGCTTGCATCCTGAGTTCACCCATTGAGGCGGACTGCAGACAAAGGCCACGGAGAAAGACACGGTTAAGAAATTTTTTGTGTTGTGGCGAAGCTATAAAGGCTGATGGAACCACTGAGTAGATCAGAAGCCCGTTAATAGCGAATTTAAGCAGGGCTGGTTATGCCGGTAAAAAGGTGAGAATACTGAGTGAGTGCCTGACTGTGCGAACGCTTTACCTCCGTTAGCCGGTTTTTTTTAATAACGGCCCAGGTCGAATAACTGGTGGGGAAGGGGTGGTAGTGAGAGAAGTTAGTTAAAAAAGGGGATGATGGCAAAAAACAGGAAGCAGATGAGACGCCGTAGGCTCGAGTTCGTGCGCCATCACTGGTGGTTTTCCCAGAAAGACTAACCAAGATGATACCGATGGACGCACAACCCTCCTCTCTGTGTCAGCCTATCTCGAACAGTCCTACTGTCGCAAACACTTTGGCTTTAATTTGCAAGTTTACGAAAGTTACCTGTGGTGAAAACTGCTCTCAATTCTCGACGAAATTCCACACAGCAGCGTGCAGGCTGAAATCAGTTTAGTGGAAGTTCTTGACAGGTGAAGCCGAGAACCGCGTCACAAATTCACGAGAAGAATATTGCCAACAAATACAAGGAAGAATGGAACGACCGTTGCTGGTTTATTAGCCATCATCAACCATCCATACCCAACTTCAGGCGCTGCGGCATCCAAAGATGGGACAGAGGACCTGGTGGTTAGAAGTCCAAAACCCTAAGCGTTGAACCACGGGCTCGTTGTCTTGTTGCCTTCAATCGGAAATACAAAACTTCATTGATGAAAGTTCACCCAACCGCTAAAGGAACTCATCTGTACCGGCCTGCTTGGGGTCTCGACAGGGGCCTCGACGGCCTTAGAAGCTGGTAATGTAGGTAGATAGTATTACCGGCAAAGACAAGGGATATGAAGACTCATTTGCTGGTAATACTACCTGCTTACACTACTAGCTGCTACAGCTGTCAGGGCCTCTGTCGAGACCCCAAGCAGGGTGGGACGGACGAGTGGGTGAACGTTAATCAACGAGTGTCAATATCTTTCGACCTAATCCGGCAAGACAAAGAGCTCGTGGCTAAGTGGTTAGGGCCTTTGACTGTGGTCAAAGAGGTCACGAGTTCGAGGCTCGAGTGGCAGGCCACTTGAGTCTGGGTATGACTGACTGACGACGGCTAATAAGCCAGAAATGGTCATTGCAGTCTCTCCTGTCTTTGTCGGTAATATTATCTACTAATATAAACATTGGTAGATGGACGCTCACCAATAGGGATGAGAACTCACTCGTTTAGGGCTCACACTCTAGTCCTGCCACGGCCGCAAAGCGGTTAGTATTATCGGCAGGAGGAGAGTACACAAATAAAGACAAAGAGGTAACATAGGATCGGGAGAATCCGCTTCAGTCCATTTATTAACTTCTATACAGTCAGAAGAAGCTCGAGAGTGCCTGACTGTGCGAACGCTTTACCTCCGTTAGCCGGTTTTTTTTTTCAATAACGGCCCAGGTCGAAGGTCTGTCGCAAAATAACTGGTGGGGAAGGGGTGGTGGTGAGAGAAGTTAGTTAAAAAGGGGATGATGGCAAAAAAACAGGAAGCAGATGAGACGCCGTAGAATAATGAGGAAGCATAAAGGTACACCGCGGCCAAAGTTCGGCCTTCCGATGCGCGGCCACACACTGCAGCCGATAAGGTGACCGATAAGGTAAAATACGCTCAGCAGTAGCAATTCGAGGATGTTAGGCAGGCAGGCGGGGCGGGCGGGGTGAGAAA